GAATGGCAAGATGACTAGAGAATATTATTCTGCTTTGTTAAATGTTCCTTGAGGTGCGACAGGCTTAATTGTGGTATTGCTGAGACATAACGATTTATGTAATGAATGTTCGAGTATAGCGAATGGTGAACTACAAATGACTTGATCCCGATTGAGGGTACGTAGGCAGTCTAACGATGAGGTTAGATGCAGCCATAAATAAATGAAAATTACAACGCAATTTGAACATTGATTATGCTTTGTACATATCCCAGAGGTGGGGTAGTTAGACATACGGATATTTGGTGAATCATGTGTCGATCTGGACGTATGTCGGGATCAGGGCGTGACAAATTGATGGTGGTTTCAATTTGGACGGTGTTGGTCAAGATGATGTGCCCGTGTGTGCACAGTGAGTATAGGAGAGAGAGGGATGGAGAAAAGGTAAGAAGAGAGCAATCAAAAATGGGAGGAAATAACCCATTTACATACAAGGGCAATTAAGTCATTTGAAGGTGTAGAAAAATCATATTTCTGTCTGATTAGTGTGCATATTCGAAATGTCGTATTTTGTCCCAAGATTAAGAAATTGTCCTATTTCTAGGTATTTCTCATAAAAAGAAAAAAAATCAATATGGGCTAGTTCCCTAGCCAATTCACAAGTTATAAATTTCATCTCAACTGGTAGCGGCACATAAAACCTGGCATTTGTGTCGTGTTTCGCGTTTTCGTGTCGTTTTCGTGTCATACCCGATAGCTTAACAGGTCGTGTCGTGTAATACCCGTTAAGTAAACGGGTAATATAACCCGACCCGAAATCATCCGTTAATATTATCAGGTAATATGACCCGACCCGTTACCCGTTAAGAAAAATATATTTAATCAATAAAAATGAAAATGAAAAAACATAATTTGACCCAAAAAAATGTAAAACATAATACTAAATTAGTATTCATACTAAATTTCGGAGTTGACCCTTTCATGAATGTAAAGCTTTCATTATGAGTGATTACTTTTTCACACTTCTACAATAATTTTTATTAATTTTATTAATTTTGCACTCAAATAATAAACATTGTTCATGGAGATTTGGAGGGTTTTAAAAATCTAAATGACCATGTAACCATCGTCTAAGCGTTGAGGATGCAATTATGAATGCTTATTAGCTTTCACTTCTTCAGACTTATACATTAATGATTATGAATTTTGTTTATTTTGAACTCCTTTAAAAATACTATTCATGAGAGTTTGTATGGTTTTAAAAATTCAAACGATCATATACCTATCCTCAAAGCGAGAGGATGCGACGACAAGCATTTGCATATTTTTTTTCATATTTTTCGCATATGTAAATAATTATTATAATTTTTTAATGTATTTGGTATTTTAAATTACTTGATATTTTTATTTTTAATTTGTTTTATGATTTTAATCTCAATCTTTGTCTATAATCTAATATAATAAATCAATAACTACTTAAATTTTATAAAATTATATGGAATAATAATTAACGAACAATATACATTTCATTATATCTCTGTATTTTATAGTAAGTTTTTTTATAGTTTAAAAAATTAAAATCATCAAAACTAACTTTTCTTATTGTGTCGAAACAGGTTACCCGCGTGTCACTCTCGTGTAACCTATTAAAGACTCGTTATTATCGTGTGACCCGATAAGACCTAATTAGTATCATGTTGACCTGAACCCCATTATTTTCGTGTCATTTATGTGTTGTGTTAACGAGTCGTGTAAAAAGCCAGGTCTAGCGGCACATTCGTAATTTAAATATATCTTAAAGGTTGGGAATAAGGGTAACCAATTCTAATTACTAGGCAGCGGTCGCTCTTTTACACATGAGTTTAAAGTTCTCTTTTCATAAATTGGAGTAGTTTAAAATATCAGTTTCTTAAGAAAAACAAAATCACAATAAAGAAAAACAAATCATGCATTGTATAATAGTCTCCGAGTCTAAGTTCAAGTTTTTATGAACTTTATACGATTTATCGGTTTACCAACTTTAAAAAAAACATGTGCAACTCACACATCTATAAGAAACTAGTTTTTCAAAGGCCAGAAGCATTTTGCACTATAAAACTTTTCCTTTAATATATTAAATGTTCCCATGACCTAACCTAGTGGTAACCATTATATTTGGAAATGATAACCATTAATTCCAACTCGCAGCCAAAGTCGACATACATTCCTCTGAGTCTGCAGCCAAAGTACGTATAAAATAAATATGATTCGTCAGTTCTACAACACATGGTGATCACCAACCAAATGTCCCAACTAGAACAATTTAGTAACTAAGAAAGAGTAGCCATCACAACTTTATGAAGAGTGGTGCTATCCCTACACCTTATATCTTTCATGTATCATCTGTTAATTTTTTTCCTGTGAACCTCTTCAATTTATTTGATTTAACGGTCGAAAATTGAGCGATATGTGTCAAAGGTAAATATGTGTGTTTGGATAGCACCACCATTCTCAGAAATATAAAATCCATAACTGTATTTGTGTAAGGTGTTTTTCTTTATATTTCTTTCCATTAAACTATAATTCAAATACCATTGACAGTCAAACTTGATTTTGGTTAGAAACTAGAATTCCTTTTTCTTTTCACTGAGTTATGAATTTAGAAGAGAATACTTTCAGGTTATAAAGTCTACAGCGAAAACAACATTAGAAGTGTCACAAGAAGAGTCCCAAACAACCACAGCAGCTGAACTGGTCCCGTATTCGAATAACCAAAGTTTGTTGTTGATGGGCAGTTCTTGGGACAACTTCAGCCTCAGGCTGTGGACATACTCCAAAGCTCACATTGGCCTGCGTACATAAGAACACGTAATTATGAATTTATGATTACCATGCATATAAATGACCAGAAATTAGGTTAATTGTCGCTTGAATGTCCTATCCAAATTGATAGCGTGATAACATAACATATCAAACTATCTTATAAAACCACATATGCATCACATTACCGGATATTTAATACCGAATATCATATATTACTCACCTTGCAGTTAGCAATGGTTCCACACCCGCAAACCAAATGACCGTTTGCGACATCCGTAGCTTTAGGAGCTCCCCCACCATCACTCCTCTAGAAGGTAGGTCACAGAAAAATGAATAAATGAATACATTTATAATTCTATACACGTATAAACAATGAGCATCAACATAATTTTTGCTAGTAAGTTTATTTTTAAAAGTAATTCGTACCTTGTAAAAATCAACCGCAATAAAGTTAGGCCATCTTTTAGAAGACGCATCATAACACGTATTCACCATGCGAAGCAATGCATCTGAATTATCCTTGCAAGCTCGGGTTATATCGGGAGCATCTCGAAAATAGTTGACCAAGACCAACGATTTTGATGTTGTGTTCATGGGAGATGATTCCGCGCGATTTGGACATGATCCAGCAACCATTCCACCCTTTCCATCTACAGTTTCACTCAAAACAGAATTATATTAAGAAATAGGATCTTCTGTATGTGTTTTCTGTGTCAAGTTCATGTTAATCGTTTTAGAGTTTAGAATTAAGCATGTTGGGGTCAAAGATTTATGTTTATGGATTAAATAAAACCCTAAAACAACGTAATTTTGGACATAAGTACAAAAAATCAAATATAGTGTTCGAAGTCAAAGATAGAACTCACATTGGTTTTCGACCACATAGTTCCACTCATAGGCTATCCCTTCACTTGCCTCCTTTGCTCGTTTTGAAGTGAAAACCACCAAACGCTGATTTTTCTGGATCATATCAGCAACCGTCGGCCAATCTCCGCCTTTTTTTGGCATTCTTGACACTGGGAACCAGAATTTTCTCAAGCCAGCTGCATCAAACACTTTGGTCAAGCCCTTTGGTGATGTAACATAGTCTTCAATGATGATGGTCACAATGTCTGATGGGTTTGCTTGAAGAAAGGCTTGAATTTCTTTGAGCACATTGATGGCAGGTTGCTGATAAACCAGATTGCAGATTTAGTACTGCTATTCTTAAACGAAATCTTTTCAATAAATCTAAGCAAAGTCACAAATAGCGAAGTCATTGATAAACGTTTTAAGTTGAAGACTCAACTTGAGAAGCATCAGTTTCTTACCCTTCAAAGGATGTAGAAATCAATTAAACCGAAAATCGTTTAGCTAATTAACTGTCATCATGATAATTTCAGTAAAATTGTGTTTGTCTGTATATTTGATCACAGTTAAATAACTAAAAGATTTTTCAGTTTGGTTAAGTTTTGCAAGAATAATCCTTCAAGAGTTGAATCTTCAATAGGTAGTCGCATAATATAAGCAACCCATGCATTTACATCACAACACAAAACTAATCCTTTTGCGTATATATAAAACATCATTTGGAAGCCATATAATACTTACAAAAGATGTGTAATTGTAGCAGTTGCCGCCGAACGAGTGACATAACCAAATACCATTTTGGAAGTCATACATATCCAGCATTAACCCTCTAACACCATTCTGCAAGATGATATAGCAATTAATTCACGAATTTAAGAATTGAAAATTCATCATACAGCCATAATTATTTTAAAAATTCCCTTTGTTTATTGGTCAATTATCGTTATTTGGCAGTCTTGCTTATGTACTAGAATACAATATGATAGGTGCATCTTGCAAGTGATTGTCGTCATCATCGTAGTAACGTACGGTACATATGTATTCTGCTGGAGCTTCTAATCATCAAAGTCTATGATTATTTTCTTTCTTGAATATTAGACAATCGACCAAGAGGGAATTATTAAAGTCAAAACAATACCTAATCCATAACAACTTTAACATGCAAACATATTATTCATGGGTAGAAAGTCTAACCCTTGAACATCCTTCTACGGTTCTACAAAAGCACAAATCTGATGGCTATTCTTGCCGCCAAAGCCAAGACTCAACAAATATTTTCCTTTCTTAACTAAAAAGTGCTTTTGTTTTTGAGTTTTTTAAGCTTTATCTGGGTTTCCAAGTGCTTTTGTAATCTTAGATTACTTAACTTTCATGGCAACATAAAGGTCACCACAGCCAACCAAAGACTAGTCATAACCACCACCGGGTAATCCAGTGGTTGAGGACAAATTCCAGGCCAGTATTCTATACGGCACATCCTAGGTTCGATTTTTGACACTGATGAGTCACACGATGGTGACTAAGAGGAGGCTTAAATGCATCTGTAAATCTTTTCGTTCCACAAAAGGGTCGACTGTCGTGGCGAAGCCATTGGTTAGTCCATTTTCAAAACAAAAAAACCAAAGACATAGTCATACGGCTATTTCACTTTAGGATTGGTCCTCCTTAATTGAATGTAGGACATTGTCCATTTTCCTTTCACACTAAAACCTTAAGTAGCGTGACAACCAACATGCATGAGTCTTTATCATTACTTATTAGGCCCCATATGAACCTTGAACTGTCATTTCCTATTAATAATAGATCAACTATTGCCATACCTCAATTTTACTCAAGTGGTGATCCAAATCAATTTATTATGCACACGCACATTATCCTATAGGAGAACAAGAACATTACGTCCATAGCACAAGTGTTTGTAACTATGTATCTTTGCGTAACAATACTAAGTGACAAAATAAATCAGCTAAATATACATGTGTCTAACTAAACATTGAATTCAAGCATTGGCGGGAATTTATAATTCCATTTGTAGAGTTATTTCATACTCATAAGAGTTTAATTTCATATAGAATACTAAACTTTTGAGCAAGTGTTCTAAAAATCTGCCTAGGTAGTAAGCGAGTGGCTACCGTTGCGATTAATCCTTATGTGTTTAAAAATAAGAAAGGGTACCTACACTCTCCAAGGTGGACATAAGTAGCCTAGGCAGCCTTGGTAGTTTTGTGACTTTTTTTTGCTTTTTTTTGTTTTTCTAAGAAAATGACTTAGAGTGGCGACTCTCACTTAAACAAAAAATAAGGATAACTTTATTTTGCATTTTATATTTTAAACAAATTGTAAGAGACTTGTTGGTTACTTAGATGAACACATATTTATATGCTCGTTCTCATATTTGCAATATATTTTAGTACTTTATAATTTATATACTAATAGCCTCTTGTCACACGCGTATTGACCTTTTTATATTTTTTTTATTAAAATAATTAATTTACATATTTTTAAAAAATTATTTAAAAAAAATGAATTAAAAATGTGAAACCACCCACCACCGTGGGAGGTTTTGTTTTGTTTTCTTTTTCTATAATTTTAAATATTAAATTCAGTCAAAATAAAATATGGTTAAATACTTTAGCTTCTTTTGGTTCAATTGTAATTTATGAAATTTTTAAAGGGCAATTTATGGTATTTTGAATGTTTCATCATTTAAGATGCTCACTTTATATGTATGTATATATATATATATATATATATATGTATTCTATTTTAATATTTATATTTTCCAATATAATTATATATTTTAATTAAATTTATTATATATCATATAAATAAATGTCTACTCATATTTATAAAAATAAGGAAAAATCACCTCCGCTTAGGCTCCTACCGCTATCGACTAGCACCTAAGCACCATTTAGAACTTTATTTACAAGTACAGGTCCAGGGGAGAGAAATTATTATTGAACTTTTCATTCACGAGATTCGAATCTAAGATATTTCTTTTATAAGTGAAAATAAATATCAAAAATCCCAATAATCATGGTACTAAGCAATTCCTTTTGACATTTTTAAAGAAAAAGAAAATCACATTTCCATCAACCTCATTTATTAAGGATAGTCACACACCCATTTTTCCTCCTACATACCCTTATTAATCTTTCTTCAATCTTTTTTAATTCATTCTATTGATAGACAAATGAATGTGTGTTTGGTCATTTCTAATGAAAGGCCATTGATGAATACCATCAAATGCCATAAACAACAAGGAAACAGCGCTCTGTCAACTACCTAGAATTCTAAACAGAGTTTTGTTCCTCAAACATCAAGTTCCTTATTATTTCCCAGAAATTAAACAAGAAAAGAAAAATAACATAAACAAAAAAATAGGAAGAGAGAAGGAAAGACATACGTTAAGCTGCTCAGTAATGGAGTCCTGCTGGTTAGTAGGAGCGAAAATCAATGAGCCAGTCGCCGACCTGTCACCTAACCTCGCAAACGAATTGTGGGTTGTCAACCATGAATACTTGTTAAACGGTAGCGTTTGAACCTGCTCATGTATAAATGCACAACTACCCCCATCAGAACAGACAGAAAGAACAAAAATAAAGACCAAAACTTTAAGAAAATGGAAAATCAAAGAAGTTGGATTTATGGAACCTGAGAAATGGGCTGATGGGTTTGATTCTGGTGCATTTGGGCACCACGTTGCCGTCTGCAACGCACGTCTCGCAGTGCAATCCCGAGTCGCAGTCGTTGTTCTTGATACATCTCTGTCCCTCCTGGAAATTGCAGAAGAAAAACAAGCACAGGAAAAATGGGTTTTAAAGCTGTGGAAAATATACAGAATTAATAAGATATGAAATGGGTTTTCAGTTTTGAATCAGAGAGATGAGAGAAATAATCAAGAGGTTAATACTCGCGAGATGAAGAAAGATCGAGGAGTGAAATAGTAGCAACAGAGTTGCAACAAAAATAAGTCTCTGCAAGTAAAAATAAAATAAAATAAACAAGTGTGCGAGAAGGTGATGGAGCTAGAAGGAGGTGATGGAGAAGAAGAAGTTGTTAATTACGTGCTCCATTGAAGTGTTGGGTGGGGAGCTTTAATTCCACAGACGCTATAGATTCAGGGAAATTATGAAGCAAAAGAAAGGAGTCCTCTTTTACAAGAACAAATGAAGAAAAGAAATACAATTTGTTGAGGACTCCTCTTACCCTCTATAAATCACTCAATGTTTGAGTTATATTATGTAACAAGTGTTGTGGGAGACAAAGTTGGGGGATGTTTCACAATAAAACAAGTAATTATATGACTTGATCAAGTGCGGTCCCTCCCCCCCCCCCCCCAACAAACAAAAAAGAACCTCTCTCTCTCTCTCTTTTTCTTTTAATACCGGAAATGACTTGATCAAGTGCGGTCCCCCTCCCCCCCCCCCCCCCCCCAAACCAAAAAAAAACCTCTCTCTCTTTTTCTTTTTTCTTTTTTTTCTTTTAATACCGAAAAAATCGAACTTAGTAACTCAAATGCAAATTAGAATTTTCTTAATGTTACAAATTTCTTACCCTCTTTCTCTCTTAGATCAACATGAAATGTGTGTTGTTTTTATGTTTATATATTTGGTCTGAGAGCCGCCATGAGATTGCTAATTATTAGTAAGTAGGATTCTTGTTCACTCAAACTGACAATTTTTTTACGTGCGGATAAAGGCCTATTTAAAGGGTGGTTGAGTTTCATACTTAATAAACAATTTAGGCTTATTAATTGAAATGTTTCCTGAACCTGTCATTTAGTTTGAATTTATTCTTTGAAATTGGTTTTGTCACACTCTATCCTAAAACTAATATTTTCAACTCTTTTGGTCTCACTTCATCCTATTTTATTAAAAACTGTTAAATACAAGGGTATTTTAGGCATATTATTTTTACACATCTATTTACCTCTAGCCTACACATTAAACCAACCTCAATTCCATTTTTGACAACTCTAATTCACATCCATGAGTTTTTGGTATTTTTAAAATAAATTATTCAATTAATAGAAAATTTTCGAGCAACAAAATCATTATATCAATCAAAATAGGGAGTTTTAACGAAAAGCTCGCGGCATTGTTCACTTTAATGAAAAACCACATTTTTACACTAAAAAATCAAGCCTAGTACTATTCATTTACCCGTTATTTGTTCTTATCGTTAAAACTCAAAGTTTTCAAGCCATTTTCATTGGTTTCCTATCAAAATAAGGGTTTACTTTTTTGTTTTTAGGGTCATTTCACATGCAAAGCATCCGTATATTGGCTCGAAACTTTGCACTTGAAAAATATTAACTACAGCGTAATGGAAACATGATCAACCTATTTCAAGATATCTTTCTAATTGAAATTGGCCTAACCACAGGTTTCACCCATCAAATAATGATATCAGATCAGTTGCACAAAATATAATCTCATAAACAAACCATTAAGCTATCATGTCCATAATCCTTCCCAAACCAAAAAATTCATCTAACGCAAATGTGCATAGTTTACAACTAAAAGTCTGACATTGTTGCTTGTTTCGGAATTTTTATATTGATTGAATAAGTTATTTTTAAAAATGCCCTAACTCATGGGGTTTGAATTCGAGTTGTCAAAATGAACTAAGATTGGTTTAGTAAGTGGCTATAGGTAAATAGATGTGTAAAAAGTAAAAAATTTAAAATACCCTTGATTTAATAGTTCTTTACCGGAATGGGATGTGAAAATGTTAGTTTCAAGAGACAAAGTTAGACAAACTAATTTCAGGAAGTATATTGAGACTAAATGACAGTTTCAGAGGGCAACCAACATTTTAAGAAGGGTTAATTGGATAACTCTCTTAGACCAAGTAAATTGTAGACCATGCTTATTAATCCTCATGCTAAGGACTTAGACCCAAGCAATGGGTACCTTAATATATAGGGTTATACAGACCAACTGGGGAGCCAAGAAAATATGTAATGCAATACGTCTTTCCTGTTTTTTCTGAGACTACAGTTTGAGAAAAACCAAGTTCTCAGCAAAGAAAAGAAAATGATACGTTCTGTCTTCAGTTTTGTTTTTGCTTGAAGCAGCTTCCTTCTCTCGTGAAATGGATGTGACCCATCACGCACTGAAAACTGCTTTATCAACAAGACTAGGTACAACTACAAGACTTTGACAGACTTAGGGAAACTAAAGAGGACTTTAATCTCACAAGCGATGTTGCTTCTCCACATGCAAGTGTGTACATACGGTTTGTAACCGGTCAAACTGAACTGGAATTGGTGTAAACCAAACCGCTCAGTTTTATTGACATTTTTAAGTAAAATCGAACTGAACTGGTGATAAGTTTTTATTTCGGTTTCAATTTGGCATAGAACCCGACCGAACTGGACCGTGCCCACCCTAAAAAATGAGAGGGGAAGCAATTTGACTTCAAGGTTTAGGGTTGAAGAGGTATAGAATTTAATCACCAAAGAAATTCACCCCTTGCGAATATGATTTCTTACTTTACTATAACGCTAGTGTTTTTCTGCAACTAGACCACCCATAAAAATTAAAAGTTGACTACAACAGCTTATGTCCTCACCTTAAGTATGCTTTTACATATACTTGGGAGGGGATGGGCTTAATCTTACAATAAGTTAGCAATAAAACGTGGTTCAAATTCGCCTTTAGCGATGATCGAATCTAAAACCTCTCACTTTCATGGGAAAAAAAAAATATTACTAGACCGTAGTACGTAATGACTACATACACTTGTTACGGTTAATACTAATCATAGGACATTCTTCTTACGCCTGATGGCAGCACTTCCACAGCAGCTTTCTTCTCATTTCGTAGTTCTAGGGTTTAGGGTTAGAAACTTAGAATTAAGATTAGGGAAAAGAGCTAGAGAAGGAGCGGGTGAAACAGGACCCAGGATGCAATTTTTTTTTTTTTACTTTAAACGAGCGATGTTGTAGAAGGGAGATTTGAACTCTGAACATTGAATGATGTCACTCTTTCACTTTCGTAATTCTAGTTTGGCAACTCTCAACAAAATATGTAAAATTTCATGCATTGGATTTTTTTCTTTTTCTCAAAAAGGCGACTAGCTATTGTTTTGTCATAGCAATTTACCCTTTCGGTAGCCGGAAAGTTGTACTATTTTTCTTTCGCTATGGTTTTTTCCCATTGGGTTTTTCCAAATAAGGTTTTAATAAGACAACTGATGTAATATGTGGACATCCAAGGGGCAATGTTGTAAAAAATGTATGGTGTATGCCCACATCCCACATGCATTTTGAAAATGGTGAAAATGATAGTGATATATTTGTTGTTATGTAATATTGTCAAAACTAGTCATCATATCGCCTTTGGATGTTCTTGATAGGAGCATATTTAGGCGACTTACTTAGCTTGTTTTCGTGCATCTATGTTGTTAATTCATAGTTGTTTTAGTAGTTTAAGCCATTTTCGTGTGTTTTTAGGTTCATATGGCTAAGGAAGCAAAAAGATGCATTTTGGAGCATTTTGGAGCAAAATTGGGCTTGGAATGGATAGCATATGATTGGAGCCAAAGTGTTGGACGAATTTGAAGGCCTTGTATTCATTTTGGACATAAAACAAAGGGCCTAGCCCATTCTCTCTTAAACCAACCCCAAGGCCATGCATTTCCTTCCAATTCCAAAGCCCACAATCACTTCAAAAGCCATGCAAAGAACCATCCATTCCATCAAAAACAATCCATCAATTCACATGCAAAACCACCATTAACACACATGCACCCAAACAAAGCCAACCTAGCTAACCCTACATGCATTCTTTATGCAACTCTTCATCATTCCACCATTCATTCTTTATTCCACAAACAAGTCACATGCATTCACACACCAACAAAACAACTCCTTTGCCGTGCATTCCCACTTCCTTTCCCAACATCTCACATGCATTTCCACCTTCCTACTTCATCATTTCACCACATTCACCCTCTTTAACTCATTTCATTATTCATTCACTTTGCATTCATTCAATTCCACCCCACATGCACCCTTTATTCTTATCATTGCAACCATGGCACATTTACACCAACAAAACAACTCCATGCCGTGGCCTACTCATATTCCCATTTCCTTTCCAACATCTCACATACATCATTTCACCACATTCTCCTTCTCTTTGCAGCCACAAGTCACATGCATTCACAAATAATCATTCATCCTATCCATCCTACATTCCACAAACAATGTCACATGCAAAACAACAATCATTTGACACACAAAACAGCACCATTCACCCTTGCCGTGTATCCCCTTCATCATTCCAGCATTCCACCTAATTCACATGCCTTCATTCATTCTTTATTCCACTTACACTCATCATCACACACCTTAGCAATTAACACATGCAATCACATGCATCACAAACACAAAGAACCATCCCCAAAACACTTTGCCGTGCACATTCACTCTCATTTCCAGCTTTCCCTTTTGTTTCCACATGCAATTCTTCATCATTGCAGCCACAAACACATTAAACAAACAGCCATATGTTCCCTCCACTCCTCCTATAAATACCCTTGCATTCCCATTCATTGAAAGCATCTCATTCACAACACAACACACCACAAACACTTCCATCTTCTCCCTAGCCGTGAGTGTCTCTCCATTTTCTGCACCATTCCCTTCCATTTCTCCTCCATTTCTTCCATTTCCATAATCCCCCAATCCATTCAACACACCAACAACATCCCTTAGTCCTTGTGCCACAATAAAGAGGAAGATAAGAGGGCCTCAACGTTCATACAATTCACGTTTGAGTTGTTGGAATGTTTACGCGTTTCTTTGATTTCAATGTTTAAATTCAATTCTCTTTGTTTTGTAATATGAGGAATAGAAGATAAGAGTGCCTAAACGTTCATACAATTCAAGTTTGAGTTGTTGGAATGTTTAGGTGTTTCTTTGATTTCAAAGTTATGAGGAACTAAACCCTTTTTGGCTAGGGGC